TCCGCCGCTTTCTCCTCCTCCGCCTTTTCCTCCTTTTCCTCCTCCTCCTCCTCCTCTTTTTACTCCTTTTCCTTCTCCTCCTCTTTTTCCTTCTCCTCCTCCTCCTTTTCCTCCTCCTCCTACTTTTACTCCTTTTCCTCCTCCGCCTCTTTTCCCTTCTCCTCCTCCTCCTCCTCCTTTAATTTCTCCTCCTACTTTGCTTTCTCCTCCTTCTCCTCCTCCGCCTTTTCCTCCTCCTTTCCCTTCTCCTCTGCCTCTTTTTCCTTCTCATCCTCTTCCTCTTACTCCTTTTCCCTCTCCTCTTTTTCCTCCTCCTCCTCCTCTCTTCCTCCTCTTTTCCCTTCTCATCCTTTCCCGATCCTTCCTCCCTCCTCCTCCTCCTGGAGGACCCCGAAGTTCGGCTGGAATTCTCTCCAAGGATTTTCTCCCAGAGCGGATCCCGAACTCCGGGAGAAGGCCGGAAGTGCATCCAGGCGGGAAAAAAAAACAACCCAAACCCTTGGAATTCCCGACTTTCCACCATATTTTATTTTATATTTTATTTTATATTTTATTTTATTTTATTTTATTTTATTTTATTTTATTTTATTTTATTTTATATTTTATTTTAATTTGTATTTTAATTTTATTTAAAAAAAAACAACCCTGGGATGAAATTCCTCGGGATTCACTCCCGGGAAGCAATTCCAGATGGGATCCTGCCCTCCAGGAGAAGGCGGGAATTACATCCAGGTGGGATGGGAAAACAAAAATACAAACAACAAAAAAAGTGGAATTTCCTATTTTCCCGCTTTTTTAGGATCCCTTTTCCCCTGGAATTCCCGATTTTACCGGGATCAGGCTCTGGAAAAGCCCCTTCATTCTCCCGAGCTTCCCAAAGGAAAACTGTGCCACTCCCCCCCCCAAAAAATGGGATTTTCCCCTAGGTTTTACCTGGATCCATTTCCCCCGGATTTGAAATCCCGAGTTCTGGCAGAAAACACCTGGAATTAACCGGGAATTTGGCTGGAAGCTCCTATTTGATTTTTTGGGATATTGAACAGAAAAGTGGGATCCCCAAATCCCAAAACCCTCTGGATTCCCCAGGAATTCCTGGTTTTTCCCCTCTGGGGATGCCAGAGTTGATGGAGCTGGGTGGGATGGAAATCCGGGATAATTCTCAAATCCCAAATCCCAAATCCCGCAGCTGGAGTGGGGGATGGTGCAGGGATGTCCCCTCTGGATCCCATGGATGGGAATTTGGGGATTTTTGGGATTTAGAGATTTAGGGAAAGTTTGGGAAGGACCCGGGGGGAGGGGGGGGTTTCCATGGGGTTGAGAATTCCGGGGAGGACACGTGGGGCCCGGCCTGAATCCCCAAATCCCAAATTCCAAATCCCAAACACCCAAATTCTGGATCCCAAATCCCGGGTCTCAAACCCCAGGCCCCAAATCCCAGATCCCAAATCCCCAGATTCCAAATCCCAAACCCCAAGTCCCAGATCCTGGATCCCAAATCCCAAACCCCAAATTGCAAATCCCAAATCCTCAACCCCAAATCCCAAACCCTGAATCCCAAACCCCAAATCCCAAATCCCAAACACCCAAATTCTGGATCCCAAATCCTGGGTCTCAAACCCCAGATCCCAAATGCCAGATCCCAAACCCCAACTCCCAAATCCTGAATCCCAAATGGCCAAATTCCAAATCCCAAACCCCAGATCTCAGATCCCGGATCTCTAATCCCGAGTCCCGGGTCTCAAACCCCAGATCCCAAATGCCGGATCCCAAATCCCCAAATCCTAAACTCCAAACCCCAAATCCCAAACCCCAGATCCAAAATCCCAAATCCTGGACCTCAAACTCTAAATCCCAAATCTCAAATCCCGGATCCTAAATCCCAGATCCCAAACCCCAAATCCCGGATCCGAAATCCGAGATCCCAAACCCTAAATCCCAGATCTCAAACTCCAAATCCCAAATCTCAAATTCCAAATTTCAAATCCCAGATCCCAAATCCCAAATCCCATATCCCGGATCCTAAATCCCAGACCCTGAATCCTCAGTCCTAAAGCCTGAATCCCAAATCTCAAATCCCAGATCCCAAACCCCAGATCCTAAATCCCAGATCCAAAACCCCAAATCCCAAAATCCGGGATCCCAAAGCCTGAATCCCAAATCCCGGCGCTCCCCAATTCCCGGATGTTCCCGCCGCCAGGGGGCGCCAGCAGCCCGCGCTGGAACAGCCAATCCTGGGGAAAAAACCCGGGAATTTTGGGATCGGGATTTCGCCAGGGAACCCCAAATCCCGGCTGGAATTCCAGGTGGGAATTCCGTGATATTGCAAAGGGTTCCAGTGCTGGGATCCGGAAGGTTCCGGTGCCAGGATCTGGACAAGGATCCCGATCCCAGCATCTGGGCAGGGGAAATTCCCAAATCCAGGGGATCCAGAGGGATCTGATCCCAACAGCTGGAAAGAACAAATCCCATTGTCCAGAGGATTCCAGAAAATCCCGATCCCAACACCTGGACAAAAAAAAAAATCCCAAATCCAGAGGCTCCAGAAGATTCCCATGGGATTCTCCCACTGGATCAGCCTGTTCCTGGGTGGATTCAGGCCGCAGGAAAGGCAGGAATGGGAATGAATCCTTGAAAACCCAGATGCTCTGGGAAGAACGGAATTCCCTCCTGCTGGAATCAGGGCCAGAGGGAGTCCAAAATCCGTGGAATTTTCCCCCAAAATCGGGAATTTTATTGGAAAAATGATCCAGGATGGGATTTTTTGGGGTTTCTTTTTGCAGCTCCATCCCAAAGCCCCCAAATCCCAAATTCTGGAGCATCCCAGAATTCCCAACAGCAGCCGGAAAAAATCTGGAGCAATTCCAGATTTTCCGCAGAGTTGGATCCAAGCGATTCCGGATTTAAAATCCCGGGAAAAGCGGGAATGGGGAAAGGCTGGAAAACTGCCTGACATTCCCATCAAAATAATGAAGGGAATGGGAAAAAATGGGAAAAATCAGGATTGGTTTGGGAATCTGAGCTGGGGGGGGGCCCTCCCAGGAAATCGTGGATTAGCCTGGAAAAAAAAGGGAATAATTCCCTGCGGGAAGAAAATTCCCAGGGATCAAATTCCCTTATTTTTCCCCAGGGAAATCCACTCCCTGTGGGCTTTCCCTGGGGAAAATTCCCAATAAAATAAAATTCCAATAAAAACCGAGGTTTTCTGCCTGGATCCCAGAAGGGTTTTTTGGGAAGTGCTCCCACTCCGAGGATTTTGGAGCGATTTTTATCCACCTGAGGCCAGACTGAAATTCCCTGGATTTGGAATTTGGATTCTTGGACTGGGAGATGGGAAAAGCAGGATCTGGGAGGGGTCAGAATTCCTTTGGATCCTCCATTGGGGTTTCTCCTCTTCCCAAAATCATTCCACGGATTTTTATCCCTGGATCTGCATCTCCATTCTTCCCGGAAATTCCCTGTCCTGGAATCCCAGCAGATATTTGGGATGAGAATACAGAATTCACTTCCTGGGATGCCCAGATTCCAGCTGGGAATTCCAACCCTCCCCAGGGCCTGACATCACCCCAGAAAAGGCAATTCCAAGGAATCCATGGAGTCTGGAAAAGGCAATTCCAAGGAATCCGTAGAGTCTGGGATGGCTCGACGGCAATCCCGCCATTCCAGGACCAGGAGATTTTTGGGAATCAGGAGAGCTGGGCCATGACCAAGAGGGTGCTGGGGGGGTTTGAGAATTCCCAGAGTGAGAAAAAAGTCTTGGAATGTGCAGGGACCGGACACAGCCCCAGTGCCAGCTGGATGGATTTTTCCAGATGGAAGCTGGATATGTAGGGAATCCCTTCATCCATCCATCCATCCATCCATCCATGCATCATCCATCCATCCATGCATCATCCATCCATGCATCATCCATCCATCCATCATCCATCCATCCATCCATCCATCCATCCATCATCCATCCATCCATCATCCATCCATCCATCCATCCATCCATCCATCATCCATCCATCCATCATCCATTCATCATCCATCCATCCATCATCCATCCATCCATCCATCCATCCATCCATCCATCATCCATCCATCCATCATCCATCCATCCATCCATCCATCATCCATCATCCATCCATCCATCCATCATCCATCATCCATCCATCCATCCATCATCCATCCATCCATCATCCATCCATCATCCATCATCCATCCATCATCCATCATCCATCCATCATCCATCCATCCATCATCCATCCATCCATCCATCATCCATCATCCATCATCCATCCATCATCCATCCATCCATCATCCATCCATCATCCTCATCCATCAATCCATCCATCCATCCATCCATTCATCATCCATCCATCCATCATCCATCCATCATCCATCCATCATCCATCCATCCATCATCCATCCATCCATCCATGATCCATCCATCCATCTCTCCTCGCCCCCAGCCCCACCAGACAATGGAGAGGCAGAAGAAGATGTGACGGATCACGGGGGTCCGGACCAGGTCAGAGACGGTGTAGGAGGATTTCAGAGCCGCCAGCTCCTCCTTCATGTTGGACTTCAACATCTGGGAGGGGAGAACAGGAGAGGTTGGGGGGGCTGGGAACCACCACCACCACCCACCCCCACCATGGGCCACCAGACCTCCACCGTGATCTTCTCCCCCTCCTCCTTCCGGTTGTTGAAGGTGGCCACGCGCTGCAGGACCTTCACCGCCCGGTCGGCCTTGCCCGAGAGCACCAACCACCGCGCCGACTCCGCCAACCACCTGCAGCCAGCGAGGGGAAACTGAGGCACGGCCAGCGCCCCCCGTGTCCCCACGTGTCCCTGCGGCCTCCCCGAGGGGCCCAATGTCCTACCAGGAGTAGAGGAGGAAGACGAAGAAGGGCAGGGACACGGAGAGCTGGAGCCAGCGCCAGTGGGGGACGGCGTAGGCCACCCCGGCCAGGATGATCTGGCCCAGGGTGTAGGCGAAGCCGGTGATGGCCACGGTGATGGCGCGGTACGGCGTGGGGATCCACTCCACCACTGCCAGGGACACGATGGGGACACGGCTCACTCGGGAGTCCCCACAGCACCAGGACCCTGCTGGTCCGTGTGGCCACCCCAGCGTGGTCAGACGTGTCCACACCATGTGACCCCACCATGGCCACAGTGATGTCCTTGCTCAGGGACACTGGGGGGTTCCCACTCGTGATCATTGGGTTGTCCCCACCCATGGCCATGGAGATGTCCCCACTCGTGATCATTGGGTTGTCCCCACCCACGGCCATGGAGATGTCTCCACCCATGACCATTGGGTTGTCCCCATCAATGACCATGGAGATGTCTCCACCCATGACCGTTGGGTTGTCCCCATCCATGACCATTGGGATGTCCCCACGGTCATGACCATGGAGATGTCCCCACCCATGACCATGGAGATGTCTCCACCCATGGCCATGGAGATGTCCCCTCACCCAGGCAGGCGATGCTGAGGCCGAAGCCGGACAGTGCCATGCCGCCGGCGAAGCGGAAGACGCAGTAGGAGGCGTAGTTGGGGGCGAAGGCCGTGCACGTCCCCATCACCCCCAGCTGCAGGTAGGACCACATCAACATGGCCTTGCGCCCAAACCTGCAACAGGAACCACTGGGACCTACTGGGAGCAACTGGGAGCCACCAGGCATGAGTCCCACAGGGAAACTGAGGCACAAGGAGGGGGGGCATTGCTGTCTTTACCTGTCTGAGAGGCCCCCCAGGACCAGGGCACCCACCAGGACCCCGGCCATGTAGATGGACTGGGCCATCTGCCGCAGCTGCCGGTAGCCACAGACCAGGTCCCACTGCCGGAACAGGGGGACATCTGTCAGTGTCAGTCTCTCTGTGTTCCTCTCCATCCATCACCCATCCATCCATCCATCCATCCATCCATCCATCCATCCATCCATCATCCATCCATCATCCATCATCCATCATCCATCATCCATCATCCATCATCCATCCATCATCCATCATCCATCATCCATCCATCCATCCATCATCCATCCATCATCCATCCATCATCCATCCATCCATCATCCATCCATCATCCATCCATCCATCCATCATCCATCCATCCATCCATCCATCATCCATCCATCATCCATCATCCATCCATCATCCATCCATCCATCATACATCCATCCCCACCA